GTGCTATGTTATTCCATGCCACAACGCAACAATCACGAACTAGCAGTGGGGCTAGATACGGCCGAGGCAGTGAGGAAGTGGAAAATCGAAAGGGGCAAGTTTGTGCAATGATGGAAGGACATGAGGGTGAAAAAGATCCAGGTGGTAAAAGGGTCCCAGCATTCTCGCGCACCTTGCTCTTCTAGCTGGTGTATCTTCACGAGTCGTTTTCCACAATGGCGGTCATCCAAAAAAAAAAAAAAAGCCAGTAAGGTACCAAACAGGAAATACGCATAGTGTAGAGCGGATGTAGATTTCACCAATCAGAGTCCTTTTGCCTGCGGCACAGTCTGCGGTCACCTACAATTTCAGAGAGGTGCACCAGAGTGTCCGTGAAAGGGGCGGGGGCATATCTGCTTTCTGAGCATAAACTAGCATTACTGTCATAGTGCAGCCTTAAATAATTAGAAGATCTGTTAATAGAACAATAAAATAGAGATCTTTTAAAAACAGCATGTGTTGCAGTGCAATAAATTCAGAAAAAAAAACTAAAATCTTTTACTGTCCAGATTGAACATTCCTAAAAAGATTAATTATAATTACTAAGTAGGTAATGTGTACTGAATTTTTAGGTATAATCATTACATTTCTGTCATTATCACAACATAAATAATGCAGCCCCTTATACCCTTCCATGTAGCTAGACATTTCTCTTAACACAGTCAGACACACACAGAGTAAAACATCCCCCAGCTCTTCTTTCCTTACTTCAAAGTGAAACATCATTATATTTTTCCATTTGGTTCCCAGGTGAGTCTTTAAGAATGTGTCTGTCAGATGAATGCAAACCTTAAAGTGCATATTACAAAAAACAGCTTTCAGTTTAGTCTGATTGTGCTTCCTTAGAGATAGTTGTTGGATCAGATCTGAAGAGCAAATTGGTAGCTATGCATTTGCCCGAGATTTAGATCAAATTAAAACAAGTCTAACAGTGAGTTGGGAAAACATATATACTTACATAATTGCTCCACTCATACAGTTTTGTTTTACTAACATTGTATACTTAACGTGACTCCAAAGGTGTTGTCTTCTCAATATAAATCCAACATCATTCATCCACATAAACCAATTAATCCAGTGGCAGGTCAGTTATATTCTAAACCTCTCTGTTTTTGAGAAATAAAGGTCATTCCTGCAACAAATCTTGACTTATGTCAGTGTCTTTTGCTCTGGAACCTAGCATATTTTGCCCAGCAGGTCACACTACATCACCTCTGGAGCTGACCAGAAAAGCATGTCAGACTGAATCAAATGGGTGAACAGCCACTCTTTCAATTAGGATCTCTGGTGGAGCTGGGCAGTGCAGACTGCAGTGTGTTGTGAACAGGCTCCCAAAGGGGCAGTAAGTGCTGAAATCAGCTTAGTTGTGCCTGCCATTTGTCATTATCTAATGGTAAATCTATGTGTTTTCTGTGAAAGCCTCTCACCAAATCACTGGGGGCTGGAGAGAATTTAGACAGACAGACCAACAGACAGATAGCATCATTGCCCTAAACAAAGTGATTTCTTTGCACAGTGCCAATGGAAACAGGGATTCAAAGCCAACATGATTCCAAAAGATAAAATAAATTAGTTGACTTAAAAAGTAGGCATTAAAATGGTGTAAAATTATGTGAAACAAAGGAGGCAGTTTTGCCATTTTCTAGATGACGATACGGATTTTGATTTAATTAAAATGCAGCTAAGTATGCACATTATGATGATATTAAATTACACATTTTTCAGCATGTTTAGTGGAAAACATCAGAGCTTTGCAGGATTTTCATATTGCCAGCATTTTAATGAGTGTGTGTGTCTGTGTGTGTATGGGGGAGGTGGGGTAATAACTTGTGGAGACAATATATGGACAGTTTCCTAGGCTACAGCATGGGGACTTACAGGTCCCTGTAAGTATGGGGTCCTTGTCAGGGCCAGATTCCTGACTGGGCACGTACTGGTAGTGGTTAGAATAATGGTCTGGGTAAGGCCTTAAAATTTAATTGGAAATGAATGGGAGACAATGCAATTTCCTATAGAGAAAGCAAAACACAGTAGTGTATGTGCGTGCGGTGTGTGTGTGCTTTCGTACTCCATAAATGCTGTCAAAGAAAAAGAGTAGACTTGCCTACATATACACAAACACCAAAGGTAATAAAATAGATGCAACCACTGTCAGATTCTGGTTTCTTTTTAGGAAAGACCTGCAGTGAGCTTTTTAAAGGCCTTTCAGTGACATGGATCAATGTTGCTTTTCAGAATGACACAAATATTTCAACAGTGCATTGCAAAAAAATGAATTTGCCAAGAACATTGTCGAGACTTGTACATTACAGCCACAACCTTCAGTGGCTTTATTGGGTGAATTTTATATAATATACCACATCAGTATAACAAAACCTGATATACTCATGTAATAAATCTCATTGAAGTCAATCCCTTCAATACAAAAGCAAGAAGACAATATTGCCACAAATCCTTGAGTATATTTATGGCTTTAACAGAGTAATTATTTTCATTTAATTTCTGTCAACAGTCACTTGTTTTCTGC